TTGCTAAAGATCTAGAAGACACAAAGTATTTTTAGGAATATAAAGCAGAAACACAACAAACATGTTTCTTTCTTGTCGAACTAATCACATGTACATATACCTGGGTCGCTAATTGAACGCGCATTTTTGATGCGTTATCCATGTGTACATGTCGCTCCGTTATTTTTGGACATGCACGGGCATTTCCTGGATGGCTTTTATCGAGCTCATACAACGTCTCAAAATATTGCCAACAAATGTAGTTCTCCGTGGAATTGAGCTATAAAAGAGTAAGAATATATGTAATAGACTAGTTATTGTGACGTTGTCAATAGTAGTATGTATCAGTTATTAGAGGGTCAATCCACTAGTTCCTCAATTTTTACATGTTCTTTTTAAAGCATAATAAGTATAAATAAAAAATTACCCGCAGTTTCTTTTGGTTCAACAGCCGATTTCGTATGTTCTTAATCACATGCGGCGTGTCGGAGAAAACAAACACTTTTCTTTCATCGTCTGAAGGATGAGTGAACCATGTCTTGGTGTTTTGCATCGTACCCCTAACATCCAGAAGCGACCACATCTTCTGGTTTGTTGCAGCACCATCAGCAATAACACCGTGAATTGTCGCTCCGCACTTCTCCAGATAGATAATTCCTTTTACAATTAGCTTAGCGAGCTCTTCTCCTTTAACTGGATTTTTTGAGGCAAAAACTGCGATTGGCTGCGTGTAAGTATCGGCAAGAGATTGAAACATTACAACGAGACCATGCGGCGCGTTGCCTGTTTGCTTATGTCCGAAGATCGCAGCCCGTCGTCGCCCAAATCTGTCAAGCCGACATAAGTCAAATTCTTGGAACACACGGCTACAGATTTCCGTAGATTGATTTCATCGAGCAGCAGTACGCCGTGTCGTTGCAGAGGAGTTTTTGTAGCAAGATGTTTTTTAAGTAATTCTGCAAACCGTTCGTCAAAGCCGCATTTCATATCAATTAATGATAAATACCTGCGTACCGATTTTAAGCATGGTAGTGGCAGAATATTGTTTTTCCGCAGGAACTGATAGTATCCCGGGGATTGGATGTTCATCAGCATACACAACATCATCCAGTCCTCTCTGTAACGTCGACCCTTGGTGTCTTTCTTGCTCGCTGCGGCTACGATTTCTTTCAGTGCCAATTGTTGAGCAGCTGGAACGTTTAATGCAGAGCATTTCTCATCTAAAGTTGCCTCTTGCATATTAGCTATTTGTTCTTCTTGTTTTTTTAGACAGCTCATCAGATGTTTCTCGCGTTCTTTAGCTCGATTTTGTTGACATTTTAGACGTCGGCATTTTAATCGCAGCGCTACGAGGTTACGACGCTCTATGGAATTCGAAGCACCGATGTTTCTTAGAAAAATTTCATTTTTCTTACGATTTTTATTCCGTGTTATTAAGCCCTGTATGCGCTTCCTCATTTTCATACAGCTATCGCATCTTCGTTTTTTGAAGAGAAGACTGCAGTCTTTGCTGCGCCACTGTTGAATGCCGTCTTGAAATACGGTATCAGCTCGAAGAAGATCGATATTAACTTCGCCCAAGCCACTATACAAACGTTCATCTCCTTAAATTTGTTCAAAACGTTTGGAAGCGTTTCGATTCCTTCCAAAGTTTCGTCAAAATTTGCTTTTTGTGAGTCAACGTCCCGTCCGTAAACGTAAAACTGAAGTTTTCTATCCGAGTCGAAAATGACGCATTTTTGTGATACCGGCAAACGCTTTCCATTCTTGACTGGCGTTATCATGTAGGTAAATATAATAATTCTTCCGTTTGTAGCAGGTGCCTTGCTAACGCTCCAATATTCAGGTAATTTGCTACAAATCTCTTGATAGGTACGACCACTTTCGTTTTCTACATCTATATAACAATGAAGCAAGTACTATTGATAAAAAAATCCGTATAAATTTATTTTTCTTTTTCAGATTTTTAGCTGATCAAATGAATGTATATTACTAGTGAAGGTAAGTATCTCAGTATTAATTACAATTATTTATCTATCGTTTTTTTTTTCAGATTTTGCAGCTTATCCATGGGTTTAATTTATAATTTATCTTTTTTCAAGAAGTTTTTGTCTCGATTTATAAGCATAAGTGTTAAATGATTCACACTTATGAGTCATTAAAGACTCATCTCAGTAACTTACATTTCCTTGTGGTAACGGATGTATATATGTCGATTGGTTCCTCAAGTGCTACCGGTCCTGTCACCAGAGGATCAGTATCTGTAAGTTCCATCGGTGAAACCAATTCGGCGCCATCCACAATTGGCAACACAAAACTGCAGCTGGTAGCTGTAATATTAAAAGAATTAAATATTGTAATTACTATACATTCTATTATATTTTTTAAGTTGTAAAATAAATACTTGGTTCAGCAGAGGACTCCTTGATCGAAGAGCCAATAAGCTGAATCGAATCGTTCATGAAGCCAGCGGACTCGCCAGAAATGCTCCATTGCCTTGTAGCACTTGAAGACGCGGCAGATTCCATTGATGGATCTATCGAATCGTGTGCGATTTGGACGGACTCCTCAACTGACGACTTTCCAACAGAGTTAACGACATCATCAATCGTAACTTTTTTTGGAGCTAAATGACCGAAATATTCAGTCGATGGGACAACGCAATCCTTTGCTGTAGAAAGGTCATCAAACTTTGATGGAACAGCAAACTTACTGAGCTGAGGGTACTTGTATGGTTCCTTCAATATAACACATGTAATATGAGATCGCATCCTGTTTGCACATGTACAATTTGTTCAATATAAACTTACCTGAGCGATAATCCGACCATTCGAGTCTCGTTTGATCCATTCACGGATTATATCTTCCTCTTTAAAATGTTTGTCGCAAACTACGTGTGTCGGCTTTAGTGTAACAATGCCCGGAATAGTTGTTACCCATTGTTTGTACCGATTGGCGTCTTTTGGTACGCGAAACACTGAGCGTTTTGAAGTCTTACAGTACACAAACTTACAATTCGGCACGACGCACGACTTAGGCATTTTCACATACAACTTTAATATACTGTAGGATATGTTCTCAAAAATGTTTCTGGACGAAACACGTCCGAACACGTTCACGTTTCGATGAGACTCGGTCACTCTTTCAACTCTTTCTATATCTTCGATAGCAAGCTACGGGGGGTTTTTTCGTTTGTATTCCTCGGGTGAGGAATTATGGTGTCTTGTACTCGACGGTAATTGACACAAATCATGTAAACCAAAAAGACACAGACGACCGCACACTTCCGACAATACAAAATGACCGCATACAGTCACTGACAAAAAACTCTGATTCAACTCGCGTACAGTCTCAGACAAAACACTAGATCGATTATGTAACCTCTAAATAACTTTGCCAATACTTTTAAGAAATTTATAAATTATATACAAAACATTCCACTGTTTAGATTCAATGATACGAAACAAATCGATATTAGCAAAAAATTTCGCCTCTCTCAATTCCTTGTCCATAGCAATTCTTGCGTCGTCATATTTACGACACGTCAATAATACATGGTAAAGATCCTCCCTCTCGTATCCACAATCACATCTTTCCTGTTCCACGTATCCCTTTCTTTTTAATGAAGAGCCCAAATTAAAGTGATTCGCCCTCAGTCGGTTAATTAACGTTACGAAATATCTCTCTGAATTTATTTTATGAAACCACGGTTTAGTTGCCAGCCTATCAAAAAAATGCTCAAAGTAGAACGCTCCCTTATGCGAAGAGTCGCCCACGATCGATGACTGGGTCGCCTCCCAAGACTCCCATTTATCCTGTGTCCTAAAGTCTCCAACCGGCACTTCGATTGAAGGGTCAGCTTCCTCCTGTGACGCTTCCTTAGCCAGCACGTCCGCTAGCTCATTGCCAGCAATGCCAACGTGTGCTGAGATCCATAGCAGGATAACCGTTTTGCCGTATATAGTCTCCAGATCGAAAATATAGCGTCTAGCTTCCGTGACATACCGATTTTTATGGACATTAATATGATTGTTGTAAATCGATTGTAGAGCAGATTTACAGTCAGACATAATGACGATGACTCTCTTCCTAACCTCATGCTGCAGGATCATAAGTTGAAGAGCAGATTTGATAGCAAACGCCTCAGCAGTAAACGAAGAACACGAGCCCGGGAGGCTAATCTTGTAAGCAGTATCCTGATCAGATATAACAATACTGGCGCCCGTCGAGCGGCACGACTCATCAAAAGAACCATCCGTGTAAATAATTTCCAAAGGAAAGGTCAAATTATGTTTCCTGACGACGTTACGAACAAGCACCTCATCCGGGTATCTCTCATGCTTCCTTGACTCACCAGTGACCAGGTCCACGGAAGGTCTAAAAGTATGCGCGCCAAAGGGGCCTTGAAAAACTTCGAACTGTCTCCGAGGTCCAATCCCCGTCCTTAATCTCAGTTTCCTCCAAATTTCAGAAAGCATAGAAAATTTGTAAGTCGGAAGAAGAAAACGGCGATAATTCTCTCGGTCCAGGGTACATTGTATTTTGAGACACAAACCGTTGTTGTTATAAGCTATAGCCTTTGTAATAAAGTTCCTGCTTAGCATAATCGCTCTATCTCTAAGTAGCATGACTTTAGCTTCGGCTATCAAAACGTTATTGGGAGTGCTGTTCCTGTATCCCAGGGCGGTGCGTATACCCATATATTGGGTCCTTTCCAGCTTGAGCCGAAATCCCGAGTCTCTAGGGAAATATATGAAGATGCCATACTCTGAGACAGATCTAACCAGACTTTTATAGAGCATGAGGGCCGTGTTAACCTCCAAGCCCCTTGACACCCCGCACAAGTATCTCATAACAGAGTTGGCCCTATTAACTTTGCCTCTAACTTCCTGGACCTGACGGTGAAAATTAAGGCTGTTGTCAAGCCAAACTCCAAGAAATTTGGCCCCGTCGCAGTTGAATACATCGCATCCTTGTATATTGATGCTCAAACTTTTGTCGACGTAACCATTTCTATTGAATTCGACCAAAACTGTTTTTTTAGGTTCAAGATCAAGGCCAATAAGTTTTAATTTCTGAGCAATAATGTTAGCGGCTTGCTCAAGCAGGAGTCGATTCCGACGTCGATTATGACCCGAGACGTATAGGCCAATGTCATCCGCAAACTCCACTATTTCAACTCCAGCCGGAAGATCCTCACGGAGAGCCCGAGTGAGGAGCGAATACAATGCCGGACTAAGCACGGCGCCTTGCGGGAGGCCCCTGTAAACAAAGCGATCCACGAACTCACCGGAGTTGACGATAAATCGAACTTTTCTTCGATATAGCCAATTACGAACAAAATTGACTATACCCGCAGGACAGCCAAGCGCCACTAGCCTATCCAGCATGATATGGAATTCCACGCTGTCATATGCCGCAGAGACATCGAGGAAAGCAGCCAAGGTATATTTGCCCGCACTCAGAGCAGCTCGGATATCTGATGTAATCCTGACCAGGTTATCGGCACAAGACTTCCCTCTCCTGAAACCGCTCTGTGACGAGCTAAATTTTTCTTCTTTTTCAGCCCACCAGATCAATCTCTCATTAATCATGCGCTCCATAAGTTTGCCAACGCATGAAGAGAGAGAGATAGGGCGCACCTTTTCCCGACCAACCTTATCTATAAATATCACCTGATAGCAGGACCAATCCGCGGGGAGCACACCAGTAGACCAAACTATATTAAATAGTTCTAAGAGACAGGCCCTGCCTGATTCAGGAAGGAGCCTGAGCATCTTATACTCCATGCCATCCATGCCAGGAGCGGAGTCCCTCCTGATCATTTCAATCGCCCGATCCAACTCGGATCGAAGGAATGGAGCATCAAGTTCTTCATTGGGACAAGCGCGTTCTGCTCCAAAAGAAGGGTCCACACCCACATAAAGGGAAGCGAGAGTATCCATTGTTTTTCTAATTTCCATTTCTCTGTCCTTGGTCTGCCATTTATTCCACTCTATATTTTTTCGAGCATTCTTCAAGATCCGAATGGTACTCCAAACATAAGAAAGGCTCGTAAATCTATTGATTTCTTTGCAGAAATCTTCAAAATTCTCCCTTTTTGCCTGATTAAGAATTTTCCTGGCCACAGCACAACAACGCTTATAGTTATTCCATGTATGAATGTTTCTAAGCCTCTTAAATTCAGCAAAGGCAAGCCTCCTGTCCCGAATAGCGGCATCACAGTCCGCATTCCACCATCTATGGGATCTCTTGGTTTTTCGTGGAGAATCCGATGCACGTAATATGTCTCTCCGTCCCCCAGAGGCCTGATGGACGGCCCCCTTAAGGGAGTCAGTGAAAGCCTGATAATATTTTTCACAATCCAGCTTGAAAGAAGGCAAATTTGGCAGGAGGAAGGAATCGATTTCCCTCCTGACAAAATCCTAATAATGAGACCAGTTCGTTTTTTTGGAAGATGATTTATTTGAAAGCCTTCTATAGATCTGGGTGGGAGCGTCAATAGAAAAGCTTATAGGGAAATGATCGCTGTCGCAAGCATCCTCAAGTTGGCGGTAGTCAATGTTACCGACGATATCTCCAGAGCCAAACAAAAGATCGATTTTGGAATCCCTTTGACCACTGTAACCAACGCGGGATTTGGTGTCAACATTGATACATGAAAAACATTAGGTCATGCAAAAGCTCGCCGTTGTTGTTTGTAGTTTCACAGTTCCATGCAGTGTTGTGAGCATTAAAATCACCTAAGATAATTGTATCATTGGAATTACCATTCAGAGAGTTGAAAATAGAATTAAAGTCCCGAGTACCAATATTAGATCTGGGGTGTCTGTATATCGCAATTATGTTTATATTATTAACAAGATTCGTGGTTCTGATACTAATTACATCGTAGTCAGTCGGAAGTGCCCCGCTAATCGGCAATATATCGAAAGTGATGTGAGAACGGACGGAGATGGATACACCTCCACTACCCAGCAGGTTGTCGCTATGGAGCGTCTTGAATCCAGGGAAATATACTGGAACACGACCGGTACAGCGAGTCTCTGTCAGTATGATAATATCGTACTCCAGTGCGATTTTAGATAGTTCATTTTTGTGACTTTTGTATCCTCTACAGTTCCAAAGAAGAAGATTGAATGTTTATACAAAAATAGGGCGAAGATTCTCTTTATTCCTAAAATACCTTGGTAGTACTCTACAATCCGACTCCCCAACACCCCCATCATTGTGGAAAGGGGGAAGGCCCCTCCCGGGACCGTCACGAGCATCCGATTCCGCCAGAGCGCGCATCAGCATCTCCCGCGCACCCGGGGTTCTTCGCAATAGCAATAAAATGCTCTCAATGATCTCCAAAATACGATGATCCTCCCGCGGGCTAGACTCCGCTTCGTCGTCGGGAAGATTCCCGCGACCCACCCCAAATCGGGCTGTGTTCATAATGCCATGTTTTTCCTTGGTGATTTTGCCAGCACGAAGATCAAATGATTTATAAAAATTGCGCGAGGCTTCATATGAGCTCCGTTTGTCATTGTGTATATTGCGTGAGATGCGTTCTCTTTTATCTCTCGATTGTGGAACAGTCGTCTTAGCCGATTGAGAAGGTTCGGCTCTCAGTGCCTCTGAATATAACGCCGGACCGGCAGAACTCGGCAGATCAGGCCACGACGTAGGGCTCAGAAATTTATTACGATCCAAAGGGGGGGAAGGACCATCACCCTCCACGACTCGTTTCGCACTATGGAAAGAAATGTTCTTATGAGCCATCACAATATTTATATTCTTGTTTTTTTCAAAAACGGAACAACCTCTGAAAGTAGACTTATGGTGGCCTCCGCAATTGCAACAATGTATCGGTTTTTCGCATTGGCCATGGGCTTTATCTCCACATATTATACAACGCGTGTCACTCTTACAGGATATTTTAGTGTGACCAAACCTGAAACAGTTGAAGCACTGCCGAACTTGCGGGACGAAAGGGCGAACCCTGAGGCAGACCATTAGTAAAGATATTCAGATCTTTAATGTTTTTGTCCTTGAATGTCACGATGATGTTGTCCGTGGCCAGAAGCGTAGTCTTGTTGTTTACCGGATCCCACTTCCTGCGGTACATGCGCTCCATACTCAGAATTCCAGATCTGTCCCGAATACTCGACCAAAGGTCCGGAATCGACGAGGGCCAGTCCGAGACAACTCCCTTGCAAACGATGAAACGTTGTTCTAAACCGGCCTTAAGTTTCACCGGTTCCTTAAGCGCATCGATCTTGTCAAGCGCGAAATTAGCGTCTCTGAAATCCTTAAATACAGCCTCTGCCGAGAAGTGATTAGTCATGGAAACAGATAACGGACAAATCTGCAAGTCAGTTAAAATCATCCAGATCTTAATCAGATTCTTACCCCTTCTAGTTGTAGTCTGATCGGGAGGGAGGCGCAATATAATATTAGCTTTACCTATGAAATCGTCATCATATCTAGAATATTTCCGCAATACCGGAGAGTCATCGACAGCAAGGTCACGAGCCTTTAAAATAGATCCGCTAACAGTGTATACTTCCTTAGTAATAATGGCAGGCATGTTTACATTGACTTGAGAGTCAGCAGGTACATTAGAATTTGTCATGCCGGAATCACGTGATTCTCCGGCTTTTCCATCACAGTCTCTATGTACAGGCGGCAAAGGAGGAGCGTTGTCATTAATATCACTAGTATTGCGGAGTACCTGATTCGATCCCTGAGAATCTGCAAAGTTCGAGTTAACGTCAACCTCCATATCATCCCGGGGCGAATTGTCCTCCATGTCAATATTGCGTCGTTTATGGATCTCCTCCTCTCTTTGTCTCTTAGAATAAGAGTTTCTTTGGGACTTCACCTCCTGCCAATCCGTCCCAGATGAGATGTTTTTAACAAACGAGTCGAATTCCTGCTCATTTAGGCTCGTTTTCAGTCTTTTGCTAGACTTATACTGGGAATCATTACCCAAATGAGCTTCGTCACGCGCTGACCCCGTGTCACTTAATATCTCCGAAAATTCCATACAAGGAGACTATTCTCTACAAGACTAACCGCTCCCCCTCCGAGGGGGGAGCAACAGAGGCTATAGATAATTAGGGCCCACCCAAATTATAACAACCCCCCGATACACCGCACACGTCCTCCGCGGTCCGTATAAGTGAGGATAACCACAGCGAGCAAGCGCGACAACAAAACACGTCCGACTCGTACGGCGGCTCGAGCCGAAGTCCTAGCAAGCTACGCTACGTTATGTGGTTATGTACAATTATGTAAGAGAGACAGAGAGCGACTATATTTCTATCTCTGTTTACTACCCTACCGCAGCGACTCTTGCGGCCAAGAGACAAACAATTTTTGGCGACTATCTGCGACCTACCCCCACCATAGGAGTGTCCAGACCTGTATGTAAGACCGTGGTCCAGACCTGTATGTAAGACCGTGGTGGAAACATTTTATTTCGTACATATAACTTATACAACTGTTTATATTAAAAAATAAAGTTATGAGGTAACAGCATTTTTACATTTTTTTTTGAATTATCACTAATTTTTTATAATCCCACTCTTCATTAGTACCTATACTTTACTCCTGTAAAAGGATTTTGCGATCTGTAAAGTCGTTTCAAAGAGAGTTTTGACTGTAATTGTCGGGAATTGTCCCCTGTCCAGGATCCCCTTAAGGTAGTTCGATGATGAACAACTTTTCCCAAAAGTGATAGGTTTTATTTTTTATATCAAAAGAAGGAACTCTCCTGAATCGATTGAGCCCAAAAAAAAGATAATCTACCGTCCCGTTCTCAAGATATTTAATTTCAAAATTAAGTGATTTTAACATTGGTCTAATAGGAAAAGAGGTATTTTCCTATGAATAACACGAGTTTGCGAAAAATCTTTTGCCAAAAATGTCCGAACAATATACAGGGTGTCCGAAAAATCGCCTACTCCACTTCGGGAGGTGATTCGGGACCCAAAAACAAGCAAAAAAGTTCATACAAACATAGGTCCGGAAATGAGCCGTTTCCGAGTTATAGCCACTTTTATGTTCAAAAATCGTAAATTTTTATTTTCAATTTTTTTTAATTACAATTACCAAATTCTCTCAAGTTTCTGTCTACATTTCGAAAAGACGCTATTCCCGGTACATCTCGATTTGGAAAAGATTGTAATCTTCTTGCCTTGGCAGCATTACTTTGAGCAAGACCATACATAAGATGCATATCAGCTAATTCATTAAAACTTACACGATCCATTGATGAATACGGAAAGATTAGAACCTAAAAGTAATGTGTTGTTAAATAATAATTTGAAACTTATTGAAAAGCCGTGATTTACTTACTGATTTTGAATAGGCGTGAAAACAACTGATTTTGAATAGCCGTGAAAACAACTGATTTCAAGTAGCCGTGAAAACAACTGATTTCTTTTAAAAATAATGTAATCGTATTTACAAATATTAAAAAATTGAAAAAAAATAAAAAAATTAAAATTAAAAAACTTAAAAATATTTAAAAATAAAAATTTTTAATTTAAGAAATAATTAAGAAAGAGGAATGCCAAGCGGATTCTAAATTACGATTTTTGAACATAAAAATGGCTATAACTCAGAAACGGCTCATTTCCGGACCTATGTTTATATGAACTTTTTTGCTTGTTTTTGGGTCCCGAATCACCTCCCGAAGTGGAGTAGGCAATTTTTCGGACACCCTGTATATCGATGGAAAGAGAACACTATGAGGAAGCCTGTAGTTAAAGGTGAACATGATCCACCGTACAGTTTTTTTTTTATTAATAATTAAAGTTTGGTTTCCGGTGCTCAAGCGCTGACTTTCACAACTCGAGCGTGGCGACGTGGCAACGCCGCACGCTGGGATCGTCGGCGTAAGGTTAGGTGTGAGTGCGCGCAAAGACAAATGTGTATATACGACGGCTTTGACGAAATATAAAGTGCTGCTATAAATTATGATTAACTGATAATTTAATTATTATTGAAACGGTATTGCCGAAATAGATTATCCGGAAACAGTAATAATATTACTGTAGGAAAATCGAAAATAAAACTAAATGGGAAAAATCAGGGGTGTAATAGTACATACATTAAATCAGTTAGAGGTAATATAATTTTATCGTATTTTGTGATTTCTAACATGAATGTTCGAAGTACAAGTAAATTGTTATACCAATTTTTGCGTCTAATTTATTCTAGCTACTCAGAATTTTATTTGGTTAACATGAGATGAGGAATCTTACCCGATTAAAACCTTGTATCACATTTTTGTATAGAAAATTAATTTTAAAACGTGCATAACGGAGAGAAAAGGGAAATAAAGAACAGGATGCGGGGGTGGAATCAATATAGTCGGTAATGTAATGTCAAATTCGTCAAAATATTTTATTTATTAGTTTTTACTGTTTAACAATCAAGATAGCTATAAAAATCGCATCTCTGGGAATGGACACGACATTGCGAAAACCGGTGAACAGGCGAGTATGATTAGCGTAAAAACGGCTGTCCAGCAGCAGGTAGGCAGTTGTCGAGCATCGAACGGTGTATATCTTTTGGCAGCACCTATAAAATAAAAAGTGAAAATAAATTGTATGCATATAATATCACTATAATTTCAATGTGTAATATATTCAATTTTGGGTCATTAATTTTTGTCACTATGTATACATTTTTGAATAAACGTTATTATTATCAGACAGACAGCCAATTCATTTGCATTTGCCAGTAACTCATTATCGAATACAAAAGCGAAGTATTGCTAGAGTATTGCTGAACGTCCTATATTCTAATCTAAAGCATGCAAGAAACCGTTTAAAAGCAATAAAATCAGACATTTTCAGTTGTATGGAAACAAGCATTATGAGAACATGCCACAAGATTCCACGCAGAGCATACACCCGTCAGTCCAATTATTTGAAAAAGCTAACTGGCCATTTTTACGTATAATAGATATAGCATTCCAGCATAGCACTACCAGTCGAGGCAGCACACCCAGTATGTGGCAAACGCGAATGATTGTTAGACTCCGATGCAGAAGATGGCCTTACTTCCATCCCTCTCTCCTCGTTCGACGAAGCAAGGAAATCGATGACTTTATCGATAATCTTTTTGTTCGATGTTACTCGGGGTTTTCCATTGACACTTACGGCCAAACATAGTTTGACACCGTCAGCGCCAGATCGATTGAACGCATCACAAAGGCTGTTCATATTGATACCGGCAGCAGCGATTTTCGACATCATGTTCTTCGAAATATGATCTCTTAGGCACTGAAGAGTTTCTAGAAATTGCGCTTTCTTCTTTGCGATTGCTTGCCGTTGCAGTAAAGTCTGCAATCTCAAGGCCCCGGCCGTAATTGCTGTATCGCTTACTTTGAAATGAGCTAGTAAACCGTACAGGATCTGGCAGTCAGTTAAGGCATTGTAAGAACCAGCTATAATTCTTTCCCATTCCTCGCCCTTTAAATATAACTTTGCGAGCTCTTCTTGTTTTTTAACTTTTCCTTGTCCGATGAGTGGAATTGTATCGCACACTCCATAAACACCTTTGACAAAACTTTCCAAGAGACCAAGTCCTTGTAGCCAACGCATGATCCGCGGTGCATCGAAGCGTACGATATTATGTCCGAGCAGCAGCACCTGTTGACCACATTCTCCGAGGAAGCGTATAAATTCTTTTCCTACTTCTCGTGGTGGAATCGTCGTCACTATTTTATTGTAATGATGTAGCTCTCCTCCAACCACTGATAATCCAGTTTTGTCTGCTGCATGACAATTTATAGATTGGGAAGGTAGCATGTACCGTGCGAACTCCTGATCGCCACACTTCGCCGCTATTTGAACGAAGTCTGCAGTAGATGCCAGACCAGTAGTTTCGATGTCAACGATGACTTGCGGACTGTCTTCACGGAGAGGTTCATCAATTTCACAAGTTGTTTCGATAGGAAGATCCAGTCCCATACCCGATTGATAAGTAATCCCTTCCCTGCTCTCTCGTGCTATGGTGATACGTTGCCTTTTATTTTTCAAATAACATCGACGGCGTTTTGCTTCGAGTGTGGTACGTTTTACAGCTATTGCTCGTTGCAAGACCTCTCTTCGTAGGCAGTATTCTTCAGCTATCGTTCCTGGCGGTAATCCAGCTTCGACTCTTACATCGATGATGTGTTTAGCTCCAAAATTTTTCTGACAGACTGCTGCTGCCACTCGCAGAAGGATAGAACGCGAAGATGCGTAATGTTTGGACTTCGGTGCTCTGGTAGCCACCATATGGTTAAATGATTCATTGAGTTGAGACGATCCCCCTGGCGCAACTTTCAACACCCGAGATGTGAACTCCATCAAGACCCCATAAAGTGCAGTTTGCAGACTTTTACTAAAAAGAGGTTTTCCCTTCGGTAAACTCTTAAACACGTACTCCGGATTGTCTTTGGCCTCACACCAAGTGCCGCACACCAGTTGCTATGGGTCCCAAATATGTGCTCGGCAATGCTTAATAGAGCTTTCGTCGTAGCTTCAGTATTTCCTTTATTTTGGTCCAAGGCATAATTGAAGCATCGCTTCAAATATGGGATGACAGATCCTCTGTCAAGCTCTCGATGGGTGCTGGCCAACTTATAAAGTTTTCCGGTAAACTTTTTACGCACATGATTGGAATCCGACCACTTGACGACTCGATGTGAAGTTTCTCGTTGGACTGCCGCGATTGTGGACGAATCTTCATCCCCAATAAGTGTTCCTATTCGGATTCCAGCTTTTTTAAAATCTGGATTTTTCACCATTAGTTGAACCGCTGTATCTGCCTCCATGGATTTCGCACTCCCTGACCAATTTTTGGTACATTTGTGGCTGTCAGGTGAGTGGCCCTTTCGGCACATGGCACAGCATGTGCTCTTCACGCTATAAGCCAAGAGTTTCTTAGAGCGTAAGCCGCCAACAGAACCCTGACCGCTCTTACTATCGTATGTTCGACCGTTTCCTCGCTTCTGCCAGCCAAAGTCGTACGAGACTGTCACGTCGACTACGGACGCCGCAGAATCTTGTGAATAAGAGTCACCGCTTGGAATGTAATTGTGTAAATTGTTAATAACATATATACACACAAGTAGTTGAAAACAAGCAAATAGAAAGCGTGCAAAACTTTTTTTTAGTTTTCCAACAAATAGTGCTTAGAGAAATAGAAATAAAAACATTATAAACATATTAGAACATAGTAGAAAATAGTAGCATGTATAAGAAGATCTCGGCGACTTTTAGGGTCAGGGCTAGAAATGCAAAATGAGTTAGAGTATGCAAGTAAACATCAGAATTAAGAAAAGTTAGACAAGCTTTAAGGATAAAAAGTCATAAAAAATACTATTATATTACAAAAATGTAATAGCTTACCAAGAGCAACTGCAGCATTGATTTCGTACAATGATCTTCCTTTCTCTACTGCTGTTCTATTCGATGTGTGAACTTTCTTTATACACAAGCAGTTGTGGCACTTGATTGCGAACACTGAAGCCAAGCCGTATCTCTTCTCAGACTCTACGAAATCAAAGGAGAGTATTGTAGCACACGAATCGCATTTCATTAGCTTGGAAATTTCAGCAATTTTTATTAATCTGTATCCATGCACTTCATATTTAGGGTTTGTTGATTCCACAAATTCTTCTTGATGTATTTTGCGTACTTTTGCTTCTCTAGCTTTTTCCAGGTGTTCAATAGTTCGCTTCCTTCGTTCCACGTCTTGCAATTTAGCAAAATTTACCACCGATCCTGAGTTGGTTCATTTTGGAAATTTGAATGTTTGTGCCGAGCTCTGACACTTAGGTTAGGTTATATCACAAGTACCAAGTATACCAACCGCAAGAACTATGCGGCGTTGCCAAGCCGCTGCCCTCATCTCGTGCATGCGGAAAATTGTTTGTGTAAAAAATTACATGCACCTTGTGATGTCATATCGACTTTTTCCATCAAAAATATTAATGCGAAATTACTGTAATTCAGTAAATCGCCAAAATAACGCAATAATTTAATCGAAATAATCTCCGAAGTGGAGCACTCAAGAGTTGGCACAAGTTGAAAATTAGTCAAGCGATGCGTTTAACACACACTTCATTTTAATCTATTTCAGGCAAAATATTATTCTACAACGTAAAAATTATTTACTAATGGTCTTTTTACGTCGTTAAGAAGCTTTGTGATGCATTATCCTATTTTTTTATAATCATATAAATGATTTGATAAAAAAATCATAAACATTGTTTTGACTTCGGCCCTTCATCATCGAACTACCTTAATGGGGAATTACGCGAACTACCCCACCAAATGATCGAGAGAGACAGCCTCCCCACTCGTACTTTTCATGGGTCTTTGTCTGACTCCCACTTATATTGCGAAAAATACCCGGTGAGGTAATATTTTTTGCAATAAATTTAATTATTTAAAAATGAGATTTTATATATTAAGTATCAAAGATTACATCAGCTTATATTGGTTAAAAGAGCGTCTTGACGATAATCGAACCAAATTGTGGTCGTATTGTCTTGGCGATTATAATGGCCAGTAGAGTCGATTAATAGTCCCATTGTTATTTATTATTTGACTGGCAAAATAAAAATTTATTTATATCCTATATATATTCCGCATCCTATTCTCATCCCGCTTTTTTTTTCATATTGTATGTCTTTAATATTCTAATAATTTGTATTAGTGTGATTATTATCAATTTAATAATGTGATCGTAATGTTCTAACTTCAGTCAAAACTGTGTTTTAAGATCGTTAGTAACGGCACGTGGTTTGATTGACAAAAAAGTGTACATAAAAATTCACGCGAATAATACTATTAGGCTACCAAGATCCAGTCCTGACGCCTAAAGGCGTTTTCTCTAATTTACTTCTAATCAAGATAACTAAAAGAGTGTAATTATTAGTTCTACAACTGTCACAGTTTTTAATGACAAAATTGATGAGGTAGCTTATTTTGTTCTAAAAGAAGTAAACATTGGAAAACCTTTGTGTGCATGTGGTATATCTCTATTTCCACTATCTCCTAAAGTGCGTTATCTAATGGGCTATAAATGCACCTTGAGGAATAAAATTGTTTCTTATACGTGCGTACTTAAGACTAAGAAACTGAAATATGAAATCAATAGAATGTCAATGGAATTAAGGGAAAATTGCGGAATAGATTTTGAAATCTTACAACTGACTATACTAATTTTATTCAAACTAGTCTCAATAAAGTTTGTGTTAACTAAGCTGCGTCTCCACTAAAGGCAACAACGAGCAACTTTTTTTGCTCGTTGTTGCTAAATGTTTCGAAATATGTAAACTTATGACAACATTTTGTCTACACTAAAGCAACATAATCACAGTAACATTTGGGTTTTTTGGATTTTGGAAATATTTTTGTATAATGCGACCATAACTGCGACTGTGTCACTGGTAACTAAATACCACAGCCACATTAAAGGAACATTTGTTTCTGTTGCGACTTATTGACGCGTGTTGCTAGTTTTCCTTTCATCTCTACCGTTTTGAATAAAAACACACAACAAGCGACAATTTTTGTCGCAGGCAACAGAAACTTAAAGGAACTTCAAGAAACATTCGGCAACAATTAGCAACTTTTTTAAAAAACATGGAACATCAACAAAAAATTGCTCGGTGTTACTCCAGTGGAGAAGCAGCTTTATATAGGTATACCAAAAAATTGTCATTAGATTTTTTATTGTGGTTTCAGTTCTCTTGAAATATTTTAATCAAAAGTGCATTGATACAAAAATTCCAGATGAGCTACTTCGTAGTTTATCTTCACGCTTGATGCATACATTATAACATAATTACACAATCAATCGATTTTTATGTGCTTAATGTCGTAATGTTACGAGCTTGATTTCACCTTATTAAAATGAATAAAAGCAAAATTAGTTTTTATCATGCAACGAACCGTGAAAAATCTTTCGCATTAAGTACGACGATACTCATTCTTAACAAACATTGTGTAAAAGACGTGTAAAAAATTACACGTTTATTTCTGCAAAACGATGACGTGACGTTAACTGTAGCGAATTGATATAATAATCCATCGATTTAGTGATCTAACAATAATGCCCGATCTACAATAGCTATAGTAAGCTGTAGTAAGCCTCAAGATGTAAGAAATTGACCAATCACAGTCGATTATTCTCTTCACATTCGCCTGTAATTGGTCAATTTCTTACGGCTTGAGGCTTACTACAGCTTACTACAGCTATTGTAGATCGGGCATTAGATTAAGCAGTATAATTTATGCATAATATGTATCAATGCAACTTTCGACAAGAGATAAGAAATACAGCGTTTTATTTTTAATAATATTTAGCTGGGATTAAAGTTTATTCTGAGAAACAAACTTCAAACGTTACGTGCACTATGCAAATAGATATTCACGTAAATTAACCTCCATTATACTTTATTTCAACCACGGAAATCCGCGTTGAAATCCCACTGAAGATGATTAATGAAGAGAAATAGTGTTTCGTGAATATCGTCGCTTCCGAATAAAAGGGCATTAACTTGGAAGCCGGTTGAAAAAGGCGTTAACTCGGAAGCCGGTTGGAAAAGACGTTAACTCGGAAGCCGGTTGGAAAAGGTGTTAACTCGGAAGCCGGTTGGAAAGGGCATTAACTCGGAAGTCGGTTGAAAAAGGCGTTAACTCGGAAGCCGATTGAAAAAGGCGTTATCTCGGAAGCCGGTTGGAAAAGGCGTTATCTCGGAAGCCGGTTGGAAAGGGCGTTAACTCGGAAGCCGATTGAAAAAGGCATTAACTCGGAAGCCGGTTGAATAAGGCGTTAACTCGCGCGCTCTAATTTTTCGCGTCAATTTAAGTTGGCAGTACTGCTGAAATAATGTTGGTGCTTGATTTATATTTATAACATAAATCATATTGAAACGAAAAATTATTAGCATGCGCATATAGGTTTTCGAGGGTGCTGATTACGAATTTGATGTCAAAAATCTTGGATTCTAAATAATATTATGCTTTTCCATAAAGAAAAAATTCTTATACAAAAAAGCATAACATTTTAATCTATCGATGGAATGATATATTTAATAACATGAATTATTATAAATAATACAAATTCAGTTTTTATAAAAACTTTACAATAAAAAATTTTTCATGTTTTTACATTGCTCAATGAATATGGTTCCATTTTTAATTTACTAATTTTTATGAATTAAAAGTTAATAAATATCTATCGAGTATTGTAAAAACATGGTGGGTCATGAATGACCCATGGTTGCTCTTTCTCTCTCTCTCTTTCTCTCTCTCTCTCTCTCTCTCTCTCTCTCTCTTCCCCTTTCTCTCTCTATTAGAATGAAATAAATTATATACAATGCATATTTGTATATATATACATATGTATTTTTATTTACTATAATATAATTATTAACAGAACATAAACATATAAAATTAATGAAAAGAAAATATTGTCTTTTAATAATGCAAAACTTAAACTATATTTGCATGAAAAAAATTTATTCCATCAATTTAAAATAAAAATCATAAAATTCGGCTGAAATTAAATTGTTTTTTATAAGATTCTCAAAATCTTTCTTTTTGGATTCATCCAACTGTATTTTGAAAGTATAACATTGCGTCAACTTTCTATCTTCATAAATATTTTTGATTTTCACCATATTGTTATTATATTCTTTATTATAAGCAATGATTTTGTCTTCATTTATTTTTATTTCTATTTTAGTAATTTTTGAAATTGGAACATTTTTCCACTGCTTTTTCTGGACAAGTTTCGAGAAGTCAAAAATTTCAGATTGCTCTATTATATGAACTTTATATATCGGATCGGTTACTTTCGCAGATCTTATTACGTCGCACTATTGCTCTTGCGTATACAACACTTTATGTTTTGCTGCACCCTCAATACTTGAATGCATACAGTCACCATCAGTTTGAGTATGACCCTTTACAAGATATCTGAAATTTATTGATGATTTAAAGTTTTAGATAACTAAAGTAAATTGTTGATTCATTGATATTATGTAAAAACTACAATTTTGTTAATTAGTTAAAATTATTAGTAATTTACCTGTGACTTATTGATATTTTGAAATTAAGCATTGCCTTCATATACATTGTATATAAAATACAATTACGGTTTTGGCCTCCGCAATTGTCGCTATAAAGGGTCAGGCTGAAATTACAAATTCAGTGAAAAATCACATTGAATCGTTTCCGAAAGTTGATTCTCATTATTGCAGAGCATCTACACAACGTGAATACCTTTCAAGCGATTTAAGTATAAATAAAATGTACAGAAAATATGTGAATGACTCCACCATTTGTTGCGCATCTTTTGATTTACAAAAAGTTTTGAATGTCCCATGCGCTGAATCATCTGCTTTTTTATATAATCAATTAAGATCAAGATTATATATTATTTAATCAAGCAAAAAATAACAGCAAAATCAAGTAAAAATATAAACTCGTACTAAAACGAGTAACGAATAATTAATCGATATATGCATTAAAAAATAACAATATTATAAAAAAATTAAGAAACTTGTGCTACGCTTATATTGCGAAAAGTAATAAACGAGACACATCATATCCATAAACATATTACAAAAATTTATGCATTCCCTCTTTTTACATTTAGTGATTAACTTTCATTGGATTTTGACGTCGCGTACTTACTTCAGTAATGTCCACTCCTCCGAAGATGAATAAAATAAGATTATGTAGCTATACTCTAAAAGCACTTTGGATAAATTATCTAGAT